GAGCTCTGCACAATCCACCTTTCACCGGTCCGCGTCCCGGCACCGAGAGAGCGCACAGAGCGAGCGCTGGCCCATCCAGCTCTCGGGTCCCCAGGTGCCTCCCCTCGCCCCGCCTCGTAGGCGTGACAGTTGCCAGAGTCTCAATGGGGGTTGGAACTTCCAGATCCAAGCTGGAATGGCTACCCACTACAGGGGTCTTTAAGGGGTAGGGACTGAGGGATCCAGGGAGAACCTGGAGGCCAGGTCTGCTTTGTTGTGTTAAATTGGCACCTCAGCCATTTGTCTCAGCTTGAAACCTAATGTGTGTGTGTGTGTGTGTCTGTCTGTCTGTCTGTCTGTGTCTGTGTCTGTGTTACATGCTCATGTGTGCATATGTTAAGGCCAGAGAGGTATGAGGAACATGAGGTCTCTTCTTCTACCATTCTCTGCATTATCCCTTTAAGACATTTTCATTTTCAGATTCAGGTCTCTCACTGAATCTGAAGTTTACTGTTTTGGCTAGGCTAGCTGGCCAGCAAACTCCTGGAATCCTTCTCCACCCACAGCAACACTGGGGTTACAAGCACTTGCAGCAATCTGTGGATTTTTACAAGAGTACTGGGGATTGAGATGTATGCCCTCATGACTATATAGAAAGTGCTTTTACCCACTGAACTATCTCCCTAGCCTCTAGTTTTTGTTTTGAGACAAGGTCTCACTCTACAACCATGCAGCCTCATTCACTATTTTTGAAGCTGAGCTCAAATTGATCTTCCTTGCTTCAACCTCTCCCTCCATGCTAGAATTACAAGTGTGAGCTCCCATTCCCAGCTGCGAATGTTTGTGATCGCTCACACATTAAACCCCTTGGAGCAGTGGTTCTCAGCCTTACTAATGCTGCGACCTTTTTTTTCCTTCTCTCTCTCTCTCTCTCTCTCTCTCTCTCTCTCTCTCTCTCTCTCTCTCTCTCTCTCTCTCTTTCTGAGACAGTGCTTCTCTGTGTAGTCCTGGCTGTCCTGGAACTCTGTAGACCAGGCTGGCCTTGAACTCACAGAGATTCGCCTGTCTCTGCCTCCTAAGTACTGGAATTAAAGGTGTGCAACCTCTTTTTTTTTGTTTGTTTGTTTTGTTTTGTTTTTTCGAGACAGGGACAGGGTTTCTCTGTGGTGTTTTGGTGCCTGTCCTGGATCTTGCTTTGTAGACCAGGCTGGCCATGAACTCACAGAGATCCGCCTGGCTCTGCTTCCCAAGTGCTGGGATTAAAGGTGTGCGCCACCACTGCCCGGCCTGGTGTGCAACCTCTTAATACAATTCCTCATGTCCTAATAACCCCCAACCAAAAAGTTATTTCATTGCTACTTCGTAACTATTTTTTGCTACTGTTAGGTAAATATCTGATATGCAGGTGGTCTTAGGTGACCCCTATGAAAGGGTCATTTAATCCTCATAGGGGTTGCAACCTACAGGTTGAGAACCACTGCCTTAGAGCATGTATAGCCCTAACATATATATGTATGCATATATTTATATATATATATACATACTTGTATGTCATATATGTACTAATTTGAATGTTATGAAACACACAATATGGGTCTGGAGGTAAGAGTGCTTACTGCTCTTCCAGAGGACCTGGGTTCAGTTCCCAGCACCCCCGTGGCAGCTAACAACATGTAACTCAAATTCCAGAAGATCCAACACCCTCTGACTTCTAAGGGTTCCTGCTCACACGTGGTACACATAGACTCATGCAAGCACACACACACACACACACACACACACACACACACACACACACACACATAAAAGTTTTTCAAAATACAGTTTAAAATTATTTTACAATCATTTTCAGATCTGTGGATGTAGGTCAGTTGAAATGATTGCCTAGCATGAACAAGGCACTGAATTTGATCCTCAGAACCATATAAATTGGGTTTGGTATTGTGAAGATGCAAGCAGAAGGATTCAAACTTCAAGGTCATCCTCTCAGCTACATTAGGAGTTTGAGGCCAGCTCTGAGATTCTGTCTCATAAACAAACAAACAAACAAACAAACAAACAAACAAATAAATGGGTTTAGCTGCTTCTTATTTGGGAAAATACCAAATGGCAGATGATGCTCGTGCAGTAAAAGGGCTCAGAGGACCTGGGGGCCCAGGAATAGGAAGCCACAGCAGCTTCCACAGAGTCCCTGGAAGATATCTACCTGTTCTCCTGGCCCCATTAATTAATCTGAGATTACTGACTTTTTCCTGAGCACATCCCTAAAGGATGAGGTTCTAAAGATCATACCAGTGCAGAAGCAGACTCAGGCTGGCTACGGACCAGGTTCAAGGCTTGCATGACTATGGGGACTACAATGGTCATGTTGGTCTTGGTGTTAAGTGTACCAAGGAAGTAGCCACTGCCATCAGAGGGGCCATCATCTTGGCCAAGCTGTCCATTGTCCCTGTGCGGAGAGGCTACTGGGAGAACAAGATTGGCAAGCCCCACACTGTCCCATGCAAAGTGACAGGCTGCTGTGGCTCTGTGTTGGTCTCATCCCAGCCCCAGAGACAATGGCATCATCTCTGCTCCTGTGCCCAAGAAGCTGCTGCTGATGGTGGCCGGTATTGATGACTGCACTGCCACCCTGGGCAACTTTGCCAAGGCCACCTTTGATGCCATCTCCAAGACCTACAGCTACCTGACCCCTGACCTCTGGAAAGAGACTGTGTTCACCAAGTCTCCTTATCAGGAATTCACTAACCATCTTGTGAAAACCCACACCGGAGTCTCTGTTTAGAGGTCCAGTTGTGGCTACTACATAAGAGTTTTGTTGTTGTTGTTGTTGTTGGCTTTTTGTTGTTATTATTGTTTTTTGTTGTTCTGAAACAGTTTCTCTGCACATAATGGCTTTTAGACAAGAAAATAAAGTAAATTAAGTCTGTTTAAAAAAATAGTCTAAACATGGCTACCCCAGCAGTGATTCTATAGAACTGCATACGTGGCAGTTAGCTTATTGCTTTTATCAGAAAAAAATCCTCAGATGGTAGCATCGAGTGAGGTAAGAAAAGTTTGCTCAACTTATCCAGACACATACCTTTTGACAGAGGGACTGGCTTGCATAGAGTTGTGGGTTGGGTTGTTTTCCCTTTTTTCCCCTGAGACAGGGTTTCTTTTTGTGGCCTTGGTTGTCCTGGAACTCACTCTGTAGACCAGACTGGCCTCAAACTCAGAGATCTGCCTGCTTCTGCCTCCCAAGTGCTGGGATTAAAGTTGTGCACCACTCCCACCAAATGGGTTCAGTTTTTTTCACAAGAACTTCAGAATTCACTACAATGGAAAAATCATATTATTGATGGAATGAAGCTTTTATGTACAAGCTCAGAGACCAGAGGTTTTGCAAGGACATCAAATGTCTATGAAGAGAGATTTCTGAGTCTGAAACTACCCATTAAATAAATGTAACAGAATAAATTTAAAAATGTATTTATGGTCTCACATTTGCTATTTTTAAATTACATGTATGTGCCTTTACAGGGGTATGTGCACATGATTGCAGGTGATTTTGAAGTCCAGACAAGGGTTATCAAATCCCCTGTAGCTGAAGTTACATGCTGGGTGTTGGTACTAGAAACCAAACTCAGGTCCTCTGCAAAAGTACTACATGCTCTTAACCACTGGATCATATCTCTCTCTCCAGCTGTCAGATAAATGTACATTTAATAATTTTACTATATTATTATTTTGGTTTTTGAGACAGGGTTTTTCTGTGATCCTGGCTGTCCTGGATGTTGCTCTGTAGACCAGGCTGGCCTTGAACTCACAGAGATGTACCTGCCTCTGCCTCCTGAGTGCGGAGATTAAAGGCATGTGCCACCACGCCTGGCAAAAGTCTCATTTTTTTTTTTTAAAAAAAAAAGAAAATAAGCCGGGCGGTGGTGGCGCACACCTTTAATCCCAGCACTTGGGAGGCAGAGCCAGGCAGATCTCTGTGAGTTCGAGGCCAGCCTGGTCTCCAAAGCGAGTTCCAGGAAAGGCACAAAGCTACACAGAGAAACCCTGTCTCGAAAAACCGAAAAAAAAAAAGAAAGAAAGAGAGAGAGAGAGAGAGAAAGAAAGAAAATAAAACAATAATAAAATAAGTTTATTTTTGTATGCTTCACAGAAGCAGGTATGGCAGTAACAGAACCACTTGCATACAACTCACCTTTCTTTTTAAAGATTTATTTTTATTTTATGTGTACGAACGTTTGTCTGCATGTTTGTATGTGCACCATATGCACCCAGTATGAGCAGAGGCCAAAAGAGGGTATCAAATCCTCCGGAACTGTAGTTACAGGTGGTTGTGAGTGGCTAAGTGGGTGATGGGAAATTGAACAAGAGTCCTCTGCAAAAGTAGTTAAGTGCTCTTAACCACCGAGCCATCTCTTCAATCCCCACAACACCTTTAATTCAATATTTGTTTACTGTCTTCTGATATCCTTTCTACACCTTCCCACCACCCACTTTTCTTCCCAGGGGGTGACCCCACAACAATGTACTTATTATGCGGCACGCCAAAAGCGCTGACTCAGGAAGTCACGTCTCACATGGTAGGGCCAGCTCGTCGCTCTCAGAAACGTCATATCCTGTAGGAACCCAAAACACGCCTTCCAGAGGAGAGGGCCTCCATGAGAGGGCGGAGTCCTAGCACACGGGTGGAGCCTCGGTGGGGCGGAGCCTGTGGGGGCGGGCCGAGGCCCGGGCGGGCCGCTCTCTCCCGCATCTGCCGGCCCAGCTGCCGCTTGTGCGGAGCTCTGTGGCCGCGGAAGCAGGTGAGAGACTTCGACCGGGAAGGGGAGGATGGGAGGTGACTTATGGTTCCGTCTGCAGTCCGCGATCACCTGCTCGGGCCAGGCCCAGTGTGAGGCCTTGCAGGCACGAGAGTGACGTGGAGGCTCTCCTCAACCCAAGACTGACCGCGGGATTGTGAGCCCGTCCTAACTTCTCCAACCACCTGACAACCCTCGGACTCCCAGGTGCGGAGGAGACCTGGTCATCACTGCTAGATATCCTAACCCCCAACACTTCGCTGCTGTGGAAAAAGCTTCGGGACAGGATTGCTTCCTCAGCTTTGGAGTGTATTTACCCCAACTCTTCCAGCCCCTCTATCAGCAAAGGTGTAGGATAGGGGCCAAATCCCTCTTGCAGAGACTCAGGTCCACCAGTCCTACTGGAAGGATGGGGTATGGGTGGATGGCCCTTAGCTTCTCCCTTAACTGATTCACACCACTCTGATGCCTACATCTTTTCCTCTCCACTGGACTTGTTACCCTACTCTGGTTTTCCTGCCTCCCTCTTCATCGATGAGACACAAGGCTGAACCAGAGCCCCCAGGGTAAGTGACCCAAACTGTAAGTCAGCAAAGGCCATATAGATGGAGGTCTGGGGCCAAAAAATGATCAGGATCCAGAGAGCTTAAAGGTACCTGGCAAGCTATAATATAAAACCTGCTGTGTCCACTTCCATCTAGTTGCCCCAGTTCTAGCAAATGATACTAGGGTGATAACTATCCAGTTGAGAAATGGAAGGAGGCAGACCACTCCTTTCACCCCAAGTTACTCCACCCTTAGAAATACTCAGGTTCCACTGTAAGTTTAAATTTCTGGTAGGTGTCTCACACTTTTAGCCCAGCATTTGGGAGGCAGAGGTATGTAGATCTCTGAGTTCCAGCCCAGTCTAGATGGTGAATTCCAGGCCAGCTAAGGCTATACAGTGAGGCCCTGTCTCAACAACAACAACAAAAAGACTCTGGTAGGGCTGAATGTGGTAGCCTACACCTTTTAATCCCAGCACTTAAAGAGACAGAGACAGGCAGATCTCTGTGAGTTAAGGCCAGCCTACTCTACATAGTGAATTGCAGGCCACTAGGCCATCCAGGCCTACATACAGGGACCCTGGAAGGGGAATATGTGCCAGAAGACTCTGAGCAGAGGTTGTCAGATATAGCAGCAGCTATGAGAGCTCAAGTTCTGGGACTGGGGAGCTCTAACAAGAGAAGTTTGCCCAGTGGATATCTAACCCAGTACTACTGTAACTTCCCTGAGAAGTAGGGATGTACCTCCCACAAGGACTCCTATCTCATTATTATAGGGCAGGTGGGACAGGACATGTAGCCACAGCAATGGTTTACCCAACTCCATGTCAGCAGCAGTTATCACCCCCTGCAGACTTTGGTTCAGTAAGTCAAATATTGCCCATGTCACTTTGTCACCACTTTGTAGCTGGCAATGGGCATTCAGACGCCTCTGTTCTATTCTTTAAAGACCTGGATGAAAGAAAGAAAGAAAGAAAGAAAGAAAGAAAGAAAGAAAGAAAGAAAGAAAGAAAGAAAGAAAGAAAGAAAGAAAGAAA